TTGAATGATGGAAAAATCCACCATCTTCTGCTTCTCTTAAACATATTGTTTGCTTAAATCTTATTAAGATCATGTTTCTTGACAGGTGTTTCGAAGATGGAGCGTACCTAGCTCCGAAACGTCGACGGTAAATAAACAATGAAATTGTTTTTTAAAAAACTTTTTTGTTTTTTATTACTTTTTGAATTCTTTGTTGGAAGCTCTACTAAATATTTACAAATCAAGACTCTACCATCTAATATATATATATATATATATATATACTAGCTGACCCGGCAAACGTTGTTTTGCTAAATAAGGTATATTCTAAACCATTTCTAGAGAATCAAAAATATTAATACTTTATGTGCCTAAGGATGTGTTGTTTGAATGCTGTATACAATGAGGTATTATCAAAACAATAAACCCCATTAGTTTGTCTATATTTTGTCAATGCAATCAAACTGCAAGTTTTATACACTTTCTATAGAAAACATCGTATAATCCAATCCGAGTCTTTTTTGGTCTTTCGGCTTATTAATAACGTTTCAAGTTTTTCAGATTCTTTTTGGATTCTGGATTTTGTGTATAATTGTAAATAATACTACTGAGCTTATACAAAATTTTCAAATTTTTGCGAGGAGAGATAAAAAATGAATTAAGTATTTCTTCTTTGACCTGCTTTTTGAAAAGTTTCAAGTTACATTCGATGAATTAAAGTATATTTAATAAAAAGTATATATGTAGAGCAGGGCGAGACACAAAGGTCCAATTTGACTTTGAGCAAATATAAACTATATTGTGAAAACCATAACAATTATATCACAACCAATAAGACATATCAAAGGAACAATTATCTGACTACGTTCAGTAAACTGACTTCTACTTCATCATTGTAGAAATGTGCTTTTTTCTTCCAAAAATTTTTTTATCTAGACCTCTTTATCCTATATGCTGGGTAACTTGTATCGGGCAGGTGGCAAAAGGTTTAAAGCCTTATTATAATTTTAAAGGTATTTTACAAAATAATTACATTTTTAACTAATGCTAAAACTACCAGCGGAAGAAAATACTTTTATTATGGATTTTCAAAGATTACCTTTTATCTCCCCCACTTCAAAGATTATCGTTTTCAAATCAAGTTTGTAGCTGGCTATACATCTTTTTTCCTCTACTTTCAAATATTGTTGTTAAACAATGCTTAACTTTACTGATTTTTGGCACATCGGTGGTGGATCTTTTCAATCCCGTACCTTCATATATTACTATCTATTCTGCGATAAATTCTGGGAAATTATAACTGGAAAAATATTATTCGATAAAATGTCCATTTGATCGATACCAAATTTAAGTTCTGAATTTAAATAAGATAAATAAAAAATAATATAACCTAGAAAATAAAATATAATATAATTATACAAATGAGATCTTTCAGAGCACCGTGTTTGAGAAAAATATGCGAAAAAGTGCATTTTCATATTAACATATCAAAAAAGTTTATATTTTGAGTCTCTAGTAACACTTGCGGCCCGTTTACTAACGTTTTTGTATATAAACAAAACTACAAACAAGACTACTTACTACAAATTTATCATAATTAAATAATATTCGCGTAAAACATCCTATTAAACGTAATTGAACATCATCTGTCAAAAGCGTTTGACATTTCACGAAATTGCCACCGTCCATTGTTTTATTTAAATTACGCTTCTACAAAAATTTTCAATTTAAAAATGTAAAGTTTCTACGCGGATTTGAAATAATTTCTCACCTTTTGGACTTTCTCTGGATTGGCACGAATTTTTCAAGACTAAGACTGGCCAAATCGATTCAGCCGTTTTCGAGTTTTATTCGGACATTTGAAAGAGAGCTCCATTTTTATATATAAGATATATATATATATATATATATATATATATATATATATATATTTCTTTATTAATATTTATATTTCAATGTTCGCCTTCCCTGAAAAAGTCTGTACGAATTATTTCGCCTAATTACCTCCGCGCCGCCATTTTACATATTATTTTATTATCAAAGTTGTTTACACAGCAAATCGTTTATAACTCAATTTAATAAGTACATAAGTGCAATTTAATATTATATTTATAAATCCAAAGCGTTATTGTTCAAAGTGCAAACAACACTCAAACGTTCAGCAAATTAATTTAACTATAACAACGACATTTGATATACATGTACTACATGTATTATTATTGATAATAAATTTATATTGCGTCAGCTTGATTGTCTCGATTATTAAGAAAAATTAATAAAAAAAATATTTATGACACATATACAGGTGTATAAATAGTCGGTGGCTGTTTTAGTTTGATTTATTGTTTGTCGAGTTGCTTATTAATTGAATTTATATCGAATTAAATAATAAATGGTTGTGTGTATATTTATATTGTTAAGCTGGTGTGTTTAATAAGTTTATAAATTACATTTATGTTTTAAAATATTTTTATGCGTGATATATAATATATAACAAATTGGTTTAAAGCTGTAAGTAATTGTATACTTTGATTTTTTAACTTCCCGTAGGGTAAGTTATTGTAATGGGCCGAAAATCTGAATTGAAAATTTTTACATTTCTCGACGTTTTGAAGCTTTCTGAACATTTTACTGGCATACCTCAGAAAAAATGGATGTGTGTGTGTGTGTGTGTGAGTGTGTATGTATGTATGTATGGATACTATTTTCCAGTCACGTTTCCGGGCGAACGGATCAACCGATTTGAATGGTTCGAAAAACATTCGATTCCTATTGATAGGGAAAAGAGCTGATTAGTGTTTGGCAAAGGCAGGTCCAGCCGTTTCGGAGATACGGAGCAAAGAGTGCAGAAAATAAAAATCGACTTTTTGAGAGAACGGAGTATCCGATTTGAATGATCTAAAAAGCATTCAATTAGTAATGATTGGAAGAAGTGTTTATTAGTTTTTCGCAAAGGTAGGCCCTGCCATTTCGAAGATACGGAGCTAAATATGTTAAAAATGGCAGTTTTTGAGAGAACTAAGCGTCCGATTAGAATGATTCAAAGAACTTTCTGCTTGTCTTAACAAAATAATTGATTTTTAAAAAAAAAAATTTGTTTCAACTTTTTTTTTTCAAAAAAATTTTTTTTTCTATATCGGAAATAATTCATATTTTATTTTTAATTCTGACTAAAGTTCTAATATACTTTAAACAAATAATTTCAACTTTGCAATTCAGTTCATATAATTATTATAAATATTAGACAATGTTACAATATTTATAATAATCTATTTGAAAACATTCAGTATTTCTCGAATATTTCGTTACGGTACGGGAAGTTCCAGCAATTTGCCTTAAGGCACGATGCCACCCACCCCGCTAGTTTTATTTGATATGTGATTTTTTCTAAACGATTTTAATATAATTCTATAACTTTTAAAATATGTAATATAAATATTAGAATATATAATATAACAAAAGTTTTTATATTTAAAAATGCATCCAATTATTTAAAAAATACCAGGATAGGTTTAAAAACTACTTATGTGTTGTTTTTTTTTATTTGACCATGAACATTTTTTAACGTTTTTTTTTAATTTTACAATCTATAATATAAATTCTAAAAAATATACATAATATACTAAGCTCTAAAAAAACTCCAATACGATTTATACCTATTTCTAAATATTTTGCTTCATATTTTTGTCAACAAAATTAATACAATTAATTGTCATTTTAAACAATTATTGAAATATCTCATCATATTATATTTTATTATGAACATTGTATTGTTTATTTCTGTCAAATTTCTGGAACTTCCCATACCGTAACGAAATGTTCAAGGAATATTAAATGTTTTCAAATAGATTATTATAAATATTGTAACATTGTCTAATATTTATAAGAATTATATAAACTGAATTGCAAAGTTAAAATTATTTGTTAAGTATATTAGAACAGAATTAAAATTAAAATCTGAATTATTTTCGATATAAAAAAAATATTCTTTGGAAAAAAAATTCTGAACAAAATTTATTTTAAAAGCAATTATTTTGTTAAAACAAGCGAAAAGTTTTTTGAATCATTCAAATCAGATACTTAGTTCTCTCAACAACTGCAATTTTTGCACATTTAGCTCGGTATCTCCAAAACGGCTTGACTTACCTTTGCCAAAAACTAAACACCTCTTCCCCCAATCATTACAAATTCAATGTTTTTTGAATTATTCAAATCGGATACTCCGTTCACTCAAAAACTCGATTTGTATTTTTCTGAGGTGTGCCAAAATGTTCAGAAACCTCTGAAACGTGAAGATATGCAAAAATTTTCATTTTAGATTTTCAGTCCATTACTATAACTTACCCTACGGAAAGTTAATAAATAAATTATTTATTATGTACGTTTCGACACTGTATGTGTGTCATCATTCAGCACTTTTAACAAATTATAAAAAATATTTGAGTTTATATAATTTGCTAGAACATATAATAAAAATATCAATAGATACGAAAACAAGGAAAGAACTCAACACAAGCCAATTTCAAATACATTATTTAATAAAAAAAAAACAGTAAAATAAAATAATAAACTAAAAATTAAACTAGCAAATTATATGGTTAATAGCATGATTAACGAATGAAATTTACTATTATAATAAATATAATAATACATTTTATTTTCGATTATATTTAGTAATAATATTTTAATTTTTTAATTATTTTTTAATAATTTAAATTTCTTTTACAGGTTGGCCAAACTTCTTAACTGTCAAACGGACCCGGAAACGTGACAGTCATAATGGCGGACATGACGGAAACGTGACAGTTTATTTTTAAAAACTTTTAATTTAGTTTAAATAAATAATTTTAATATCATAATCTTTTATAATAATTAGGCAAAAATACTTAATAGAACTGCCTTTTGATTTAATAAATAGTTTTAATGAATATTTAATAGTGCTTAATATATAATCAAATTAAATCAGTATTAATTGTTGAAAACTACTTATTCGTTTGTTTATATTTATTAGTGTTGAATTTATGTGCTTATAAATATTAAGACTGAAGAGCGGGCTGAACAATAGTAAATTTAAATTTGAAAGAATACTTAATATAAATAAAGTTATTAAATATAAATCAAGTCAAGATGGCATCGTTTGGAGCATGGGATTATGCTGTTTTTATTCTGATGTTACTGATTTCTGCAAGTATTGGAGTCTATTATAGATTTACTGGAGGAAGGCAGAAAACCACACAGGTAAAAAAATTTTAGCAGAAGAAAGACTTCATACTATAAGAATGATAGAGGCAAAAAATCATTGTCACAAAAAGCAGATTTAAGGAAATCTAGTAATTTATAAAAATATCAAGAGGTAAATCAAATAATTCGGAGAGCATAGTTTTGAATTGCTTTGGATTTTTAGAATTTTAAAAATATCGATTCAACTCGACCAGTATAGCAATAAGTACAATCACTACACTTTATTTATAGGTGGAAGTTTTTGATTTTAAAACGAAACTAGGTGTAAGTGGAATTCTGTCTTGAGGCAATTATGGCGCCTTAAGGCAAATTGCTGGAACTTTCTGTACCGTAACGAAATGTTCGAGGAATACTGAATGTTTTCAAATAGATTATTATAAATATTGTAACATTGTCTAATATTTGTGAGAATTATATAAACTGAATTGCAGAGTTGAAATTATTTGTAAAGTATATTAGAACTATAGTCAGAATTAAAAATAAAATCTGAAATATTTTCGATATACAAAAAACTAAAAAAAAAAAAAAATTGGAACAAAGTTTTTTTTTCCAAAATCAATTATTTTGTTAAGACAAGCAGAAAGTTCTTTGAATCATTCGGACGCTTAGTTTTTGTACATTTAGATCCGTAGTTTCGAAATGGTTGGGCCTGCCTTTGCCAAAAACTAATAAGCACTTCTCCCAATCATTACTAATTGAATGTTTTTTAGATCATTCAAATCGGATACTCCGTTCTCTCAAAAATTCGATTTCTATTTTCTGCACTCTTTGCTCCGTATCTCCGAAACGGCTGGACCTGCCTTTGCCGAAAACGAATCAGCTCTTTTCCTCATCAATAGGAATCGAATGTTTTTTGAACCATTCAAATCGGTTGATCCGTGCGCCCTAAAACGTGACTGGAAATTTGTATCCATACATACATACACACACACACACACATCCATTTTTTCTGAGGTATGCCAAAACGTTCAGAAACCTTCAAAACGTCGAGAAATGTTAAAATTTTCAATTCCGATTTTCGGCCCATTACAATAACTTACCCTACGGGAAGTTAAAAAAAACAGGAATTTCTCACATTGCTTTTTTCCTAACTGCCTTTAAAAAACAACTTTTTCCTTACTTTTCTGGAATAAACTTTATGCCAGCTTACAAGTCAAATTTATTATCTAGATTTTGAGGGCACAAGAATCGGCCTGTTCATGAGCGTGAATATTTATTTTTTTAACAATTGCACGTGTATGTTATTAAAATGTTATCGATCCAAATTTCAATGTCGCCGTTTCAAGCACCGACAACAAATTTATATTAATTATATCATTTTATATATGTATTTCTAGAGATTATTTCGAGACACCGTTCGTCTCTAATCATGAATGGTCACAGGTCAAGAGTATTGTCATTATAATAAAATGGTGACAACGTTCTATTTTTTTTTTTTTTTCATTTTAATATATGCATGTTGATCTTTGATTTCGAGATCGCTGATTTATTTTTAGGAAAAAAAATTGATTTAAACTGCGGAATAAAAAATGGGATTCGAGCATAAAATTAAACGCAAAATTGTAATTGCAGACGCTGAAAGTAAATATAGAATGTAAATGAACCACAGACGATATATATGTATATATATACACGTATATAATATATATATATATATATATAATATTTTTGCAGCCCAATCGTCGAATTAAAAAAGATTAAATAACAAAATTATTTATTCCATTAAACGTTTTGACACCTGATGTGTGTCATCTTTCAGTAATCTAAAAAACATATAAAAATATAAAGTTGATAATAAATATAAATATATAAAAAGGAGGAAATTATACATACCAAACCAGGAAAAACATCAGAAAAAATTAATTATGATTGAACACTAAATTTGTGTAAATTAATAATCTACTATTATATTAACAAACGAGAAATTGAAGAAGCACATATTGCCCTCCTATATTTTATGTTATTAATAGCGGTGCATTATGGACACTGATCAAGGTTACAAAGCAAGTGTAGTGAAGGAGTGGGAGCGGGTTGTGAGAAACGAAAGGGGAAAGAGAAACAGAGAAAAAATATAACGAACGAAAGATTCTAAAACTGTATAGAATTACTTTTTATGAAATTAATGATGACTTTGTAACTGTCATGTAAGAGATGAGAAGAATTACGTTTATTTACACAAGTATTAAGAGATATAAGTAAAGACTCAACTATCTTTCTAAGGTCACTTTTTTTCTCAATATAAAGGATGGAAAGATAATTAATTAATATATATATATATATATATATATATATATATATATATATATATATATATATATATATTAGATGACCCGACAGAAACGTCTACAATTCAAAAGTTCAAACATTTTTAATATCTTATCCTATACTTTTTAATATTCTATTTTCTCATGTCCTTTCAGACAGTTCTCATGTATCAAAATATTTTATATGACAAACAATTATAAACGTTTTTTTGTATTTTTTTCATTTATTTCTACAATCTAACTATATTTCTATAATTCAAAAAATCCTGAAAAAAACCCTTAACAAACTTCAGAAAGATTTATCAAAATCCGAATAATCGTTTAGAAGGATTATCCTTTCATACTCACGTCTACAATTCAAAAGTTCCAATTTTTTTTTAATATCCTATCCTATACTTTTTAATATTCTATTTTCTCATGTCCTTTCAGACAGTTCTAATGTATCAAAATATTTTTTATGTCAAACAATGATAATTTTTTTTGTATTTTTTCCATTTATTTCTACAATCTAACTATATTTCTATAATTCAAAAAATCCTAAAAAAATCCCTTAACAAACTTTAGAAAGATTTATCAAAATCCGAATAATCGTTTAGGAGGATTATCTTTTCATACATCATTAATTTAATTATATATAAGTTATTCAACGTTTTGGAGATACGGGATGATGGGACATCACAAATTATTTACTTATACATTTTTTTAATTATTTCAAAATCGAAAGATCTTACGAATTTAGATAAAATGTGTTATATATTTTTTTTAAGTGTTGTTTTTTAAAATTATAAATGTTTCAAAAATGCCCCTTTTCGGCTTGACGTTGAGTTCTGGGTCACTATATATGTAGTAAATATAAAAACTGTAAAAGATTTCCACTAACTGGTATAGATATAAAAGATATAGAAAGAAAACATATAAAAAAGGACTCTACTGACGAGGAAACTTTAGTTTTGATCTAAAAGATTAAAAAGGATTTTACTGACGAGCAAATAAAAAATCGAATAGTTAAAATATGATCATAAATTTTATCTTAAAGTTAAAAATGGATTCTACTGACAAGTTTTAATTGATAAGAAAATACAACTAGCTGTAAGTGGAATTCTGTCTTGAGGCAATTATGGCATCGTGCCTTAAGGCAAATTGCTGGAACTTCCCGTTGAATACTGAATGTTCTCAAATAGATTATTATAAATATTGTATCATTGTCTAATATAAAATAATAAAATAAAATCTGAAATATTTTCGATATACAAAAAACTAAACTAAAAAAAAAAAAAAAAAAATGGAACCAATTTTTTTTTCCAAAATAAATTATTTTGTTAAGACAAGCAGAAAGTTCTTTGAATCATTTAAATCGGACGCTTAGTTCTCTCAAAAACTGCCATTTTTTACATATTTAGCTCCGTATCTTCGAAATGGCTGGGCCTGCCTTTGCCAAAAACTAATAAACACTTCTCCCAATCATTACTAATTGAATGTTTTTTAGATCATTCAAATCGGATACTCCGTTCTCTCAAAAATTTGATTTCTATTTTCTGCACTCTTTGCTCCGTATCTCCGAAACGGCTGGACCTGCCTTTGCCAAAAACTAATCAGCTCTTTTCCTTATCAATAGGAATCGAATGTTTTTTGAACCATTTGAATCGGTTGATCCGTGCGCCCTAAAACGTGACTGGAAATTTGTATCCACAAATACATACATACACACACACACACACACACACACATCCATTTTTTCTGAGGTATGCCAAAATGTTCAGAAACCTTCGAAACGTCGAGAAATGTAAAAATTTTCAATTCCGATTTTCGGCCCATTACAATAACTTACCCTACGGGAAGTTAAAAAGGACTCTACTGATGATCAAATTTGAAACTAGCAAATATAAAAAGCACTCTACTGCCAGGCAAGCTAAAAGTTGACAAAAAAAATTCAAAGAACTGCTGATAAGCAAACTTTAATTTCAACTTAGAAAAAGAAAAAGTTGTTTGAAAAAAATGTTTCCTAATTTTTATTTCTAATATTTATCCTTCTCTATTTTTCTCAGGAGTACCTCCTGGCCGACAGGAATATGAACATATGGCCAGTGGCCTTTTCGCTGATGGCCTCCTTCATGTCGGCAATAACATTATTGGGAGTCTCAACGGAAAATTACACCTTCGGGACTTTATTTGTGATCATCAATCTTAGTTATGGATTGGCGACACCAATTGCAGCCTATTTGTACCTGCCTGTTTTCTTTAGGCTGCAGGCCACCAGCGCCTACGAGGTAATAAAGGAAAAGAATATATATATATATATATATATATATATATATAAGGAAAAATTGATTTATTACACAACAGTAATGAATTTATTTCGATTACAAAAATGAAGTGTTTTTTAGTTGAACTTCTCTAAGTAAATGAAAGTGAATCCGCAAATTATCCGTTTCATTGAAGTGCTCTTTGGTAAACCACATTTTTTGTTTTTTGGTCTGACGTTAACACAAACAAAGCGGATGGTTTTCCAACTCGTGAACAGTCAACGTATAACTGCCCATGTGAAAAACAATGATTTTCTAAATAATCTATTTGAAATTTATCCCACAAACACTAAGCGATTGGCCTTGCGACTTGTTAATTGTCATTGCGAACGCAAGGCGAACTGGAAATTGCAATCGTTTGAAGTTAAACGGAAGACCATTCGGAATCATTGGTATGTCACCAAATCGCTAGCAATTTTTGTTTGAATAGTGAAATTCAGTGCGTGTACATCATTATTCTTTGCGGCAAGAATTGCTCGTTGACTTAATTGCAAGCATAATTCTGATAATTTTTACTAATGTCATTACTCGAATTTTTAATTACGGTGCGCGAAGTTCCAGCAGCTTGCATTAAGGCACGATGCCATGCACAACTAATTTTCTTAGCTATAAACCTTGCAGAGCCCGAGACCTTTCCAACGAATGCAAAATTGTCGAAATCGGTTCGTGTGTTCTGGAGTTAAATCGTCAGAAAGGAAAACCTGACTTTTTTTTATATATATGTAGATAAATTTATTTACCATATTGTTAAATATTTACTTAAATGCATAAAAAATATCGGTTACAAATATCTAGATATGATTCTATTATTATCATCTTCCGCCAAACCAAGCACTGTGGCAATTAGTATTGCCACATCACTCCCCTTTCATTTCTCACACAAAACCTATTTGGAATCACATTGTTGTTTGTTGGTTTTGTTTCAAGGGATTTAGTAGTTGGATTATTAGCTTTCCCTTTATTTATTCATAAATTATTTATTAAACAATTATTTCAGTATCTCCATCGAAGATATGGTGGTGCAACACGTCTAGCTGCAAGTATAGCCTACACTCTTCAGATGGTTCTCTATATGGGAATTGTTTTGTATGCTCCTGCTTTAGCACTTGAAGCAGTAACTGGTAAGTTTAAAATTTATAATCGATGAAAAATAAAGCAAACTAATGGTGTATGGCATCGTGCCTTAAGGCAAATTGCTGAAACTTCCCGTACGGTAACGAAATATTCGAGAAATTTTAAACGTTTTCAAATATATTATTACAAATACTGTAATTGTTTCATTATATTTGCTATATTGTTATATCTGAGCAAATCATAAATAAATCAATTTATCTCCAGAACATTAACAATTGTCATTTCATTTCGAATTCAATTTCAAAAAAAAATAGTTGCCTAATTTACACAAAATTGAAAAAGTGCTCCCGTATAGTCACAGTCTAATTTGCAAATAATTCTGAGCGACATTTTCACTCATACTGTGCTTTGCTTGGAGAGTTTTCACATTTTTCAATTACACAGAGGCTGGTCCAGCTGTTTCGGAGATTTGAAGCAAAGAGTGCAGAGTAGAAATCGAGTTTTTGCGATCGCGCAGCATCCGATTTGAATAGTTCAAAGAACATTCAATTCGTAATGTTGGGGAGAAGTGATGATTAGTTTTTGGCAAAGGCGAGTGAAGCCGTTATGGAGATAAAGAGTTAAATGTGCAAAAAATGATAGTTTTTGAGGCAATGGAGCATCCGATTTAAATGAATTAAACAACTTTCTGCTTATGTTGAAGAAATGATTGTTTTTGGGAAAAGAATATATATATATATATATATATATATATATCAATTTTGTTTTTTACTCTCAAACATTTTTTTTTTTTAAATAGTACGGGAAGTTTCAGCAATTTAAATCCACCAATTGAAATCTGTTTAGGATTGCGCTTAAAATTTTTTGCTCCATTCTACTAATTGATCAGTATAATTTAGCATTAATGGATCAAAATTTGCTTTTTAATTTGTTTGAAATATTACAACTGAGTACTGTTTAATAAGAAAGATGCATTTTATTAAAATTTGTAACAATATCTGTGAATCTTATAATATAAAAACAAATATATTTATATAAATTTATTCATAGTACTAAATTTTCGTACAGCAGTAATTAAATTTACAATGCAAATAAAATATAAGTAATTCATAGATATTTCTGCTTTCTGCTTGTTAATATTTCATTGATCTTCATCAAGTTTTCTATTATGAACATTCACTTTGTGACTCTTCAAGCTGTTCGAATGTGCAAATTCCTTATTGCATGTATCACATTTGAAAGGGCGTTCCCCTGTATGAATACGCATGTGCCTATTCAAGACACTCGATTGTGAAAATGTTTTACTGCATATTTTACACTTGTAAGGGCGTTCCCCTGTATGAAAAAGCATATGTGATTTCAAATTAGCTTTTCGTCTGAATGTCTTATGACAGATTTTGCAATTGAACGGGCGTTCTCCTGTATGAATAAGCATATGTTTTGTCAAAGTGTTTTTTTCTTTCAACGTCTTATGACAGATTTTGCATTTGAACGGGCGTTCTCCTGTATGAATAAGCATATGTCTTTTCAAAATGCTATTTTCTTTCAACGTCTTATGACAGATTTTGCATTCGATAGGGCGTTCTGTGCTATGAGTAATCATGTGTTGTTGCAATTTTGATGAATATTTAAATGTCTTATCGCATACATTGCATTTCCTGTTGCCATTTTTGCCATTTCTAGGTATGTGGTCAACCATGTGCTCTTTCGAATAATTAGATTCTGAAAATGATCTATTACTATTGTCATATTCACAATCGGGTGTCTCAATTACCTCCTGTTTGATTTCTTCTTCAATAGTTATTTCGGAATTCATAAATCTTTCCCGACAAGTTTCATCATCTTCTAAACATGATTCAGACTTAACAATACCTTCAAAATCACATTCATTTTCAAGTTTTATGTCTTCTATTGAAAGTTCTAGTGGCTCAATTTTAATTTTCTGATCATCCATAATTGTTTCTTCAGACATTTTCACTGCGTATGGTATCCTTTTCAAATATCTCAATATTATAATGAATCTAAATATATTTGCACTTGTCGTAGAAAATCTTCCAGCTGTTTATTCCAAATTATATTAACACTTTACATTACACGGTTATGGTCGTTCCGAAATCCGAATTCAAGTTGACATTTCGAGCATAGAGCATCTTTTGATAAAGACGCGTTCAGAAGGATTAGTTAGGGGACATATTGTAGTCGCAAATTTGGCGCTAGTGAGCCGATGAAAAAGTATTGTCAAATGTTTTATGTTGGTAACTAAGAAACGTCAGTGTTATTAACTTCCCGTAGGGTAAGTTAGTAATAGTTAGGATAGTAATCGCAAAAAAATCGAAAATCAAAATTTTTATATATCTGTACGTTTCATAGGTTTCTGAACATTTTGGCATACCTTAGAAAAAATGGATGTATGTGTGTGTGTGTGCGTGTGTGCGGATACAAATTTTCTGCGACGATTTCGGGAACACGGATGAAGCGATTTGAATAATTCAAAAAGCATTCGATTCGTATTGATAAGGAGACGTGCTGATTAGTTTTTGACAAAGGCAGATCCAGCCGTTTTGGAGATACGGAGCAAAGAGTGCAAAAAATAGAAATCGAGTTTTTGAGAGAACGGAGTATCCGATTTAAATGATCTAAAAAACATTCAATTAGTAATGATTGGGAGAAGTGTTTATCAGTTTTTGGCAAAGGCGGGCCCAGCCATTTCGAAGATACGGAGCTAAATATGTAAAAAATGGCAGTTTTTGAGAGAACTAAGCGTCCGATTTAAATGATTCAAAGAACTTTCTGTTTGCCTTAACAAAATAATTGATTTTGAAAAAAAAAATTTGTTTCAACTTTTTTTTTTCAAAAAAATTTTTTTTGTATATCGGAAATAATTCATATTTTATTTTTAATTTTGACTATAGTTCTAATATACTTTAAACAAATAATTTCAACTTTGCAATTCAGTTTATATAATTCTTATAAATATTAGACAATGTTACAATATTAAAAATAATCTATTTGAAAACATTCAGTATTTCTCGAACATTTCGTTACGGTACGGGAAGTTCCAGCAATTTGCCTTAAGGCACGATGCCATACACCCCACTAGTTAATTTTATTATTGTTATTATTTGCTTTTATTTTATATTAAATCATCATACTACGAATATCATTTCAATGTAAATTTTATTTATTTAAATTTATGTTTTATTTATTATTATTACTAGATTTTAATTATTTAACAGTTGTAATAATTATTGAAATTAAAAAAAAATATTGGCGAAAGTTCGCAATATATCTACAAGAGAATGAACTAACACATTTGCAATTCAGAAAGTCCAAACCAGTTTAAGACAATGTTTTCGGAACATATCATTAATTTAAACCATACTTTTCATACCAAAAATCCTATTATTTTACATAAGGAAAAAAATGTTGACCTCAGAAAATTTGCTGAATCTGTATTTATGTTTTTATACCCCCTTTGCGTTAATAAACAAAATTTTGCTCTGTTAGTACATGACTTTTATCATATTATTTATGTATTTTTTAACTAGGTCTTTCCAAGGCTGGCGCCATCCTAACAGTAGGCCTGGTGTGCACTTTCTACTCAACAGTTGGTGGAATGAAAGCAGTCCTAATCACGGATGTATTCCAATCCATCTTGATGTTTGGGGCAATCTTCAGTGTTATTGGAGTCGCCTGGGCGAGATTTGGACTCGAAGGCATTTGGCAGAGAGCCACTGATGGGGGACGAATAGAATTCCTCAAGTAATAATAATAAATAATAAGAAAATATTTATAGCAAATCTAATTTTTAACTGTTTGTGTTTTTTAGTTTTGATCCGGATCCCACGACCAGACACACCTGGTGGTCGTTGATTATTGGAGGTGGATTTACATATTTGTCGCTTTATGGTGTTAACCAAACCCAAGTTCAACGTTTGTTGACAGTGAAGGACTTGAAATCATCGCAAAGGGCCTTGTGGCTCAACTGGCCTATACTGTCTTTGTTATCCCTCAGTACATCACTGAGCGGTTTGGCTATTTATGCTAATTACAAAGACTGTGATCCGCTTAAAGAAGGCAGGATTAGCAGCAGTGACCAGGTTGGTGTTGTGTATACTAGGGTTTATACAAAAACCGACATTTAAGAAAACCGGTTTTCGAATTTTAATTTTACTAAAAAACCGGTTTTAACCGGTTTTCGAATTTTATATGGAAAATAAATTTTTGCTCTAATATTTTGTAATTTATCCGCAAAAGTGTAATTTAGAGCAGTATTTGACTGAATTTATTTATTGCTTAATTTTATGGATAGTAAACAAAATTATTTTAATTTTAATTAGTAGAACTAAAAAATGATAGTTATCTTGATTAAATAACTTTGAACATAATTATTCGTTATTCATGCATCATTTTCACATATAAGAATAAAAATATTTTTATGATAGTAAAAGAAAAATGTTTGAATAAATAAAAATAATACATTTTTAAATAAAAAAATCATTAAATTAAAATAAAATAAAAAATATTAGATACATGTTGATACATATGTATCAACATGTATCTAATATTTTTTATTTTATTTTGTTAATATCAATTATAGTTTTAAAAACAATTAAGCTAAACTTGGGTATTGTCTGTTCCGAGCAATTTTAATTAATCAATTTTAAACATTCTAATTGTTTTTTTGTTTAATAAAATATGATTTAAAAAAAACTGAGAACGTCTATCGAATTGCTACTTAGATGTGTCCTTTATACACTCACAAAATTTTCTGAAATAGAAAATACTCTCATACTTGCGACCAAATTATGCTTAATTGTTTTTAAAGCCTGATATAATAATTCTAAGTTTTTTTATCTTCATTTTGTGGCTTCTAGGGTTTAAAACTCTTTTTTTAAGTTTGATGTTACTTCTTCAAGAATAAGTCACACTGGTTTAATTATTACTTGAATATATACACTTAATTTAATATATACACTGGTATAAAAATCTAAATTAATATATACAAAACTTTTTAGGGAACCATTGCAAGATATGAAATGCTATTGAACCGATATGATTTCAAAAATCAAAACGCTTTCATCTATCTTTTATATTTGGCATATTTGTCATTTTCTACATATACAGTAAAAACCGACATTTTTCTCCAAAAAAACGGTTTTCTAATTTCATAATTTTCGCCAAAAAACCGGTTTTTGAAAACCGACAAATCCTAGTGTATACCAACAACAGTATTAGGGTTTGTCGGTATTCAAAAACCGGTTTTTGGCGAAAATTATGGAATTCGAAAACTGGTTTTTTATTGAAAAAAATCAGTTTTCACTGTATAAATGGAAAATGACAAATATGCCAAATATAAAAGATAAATGAAAGATTTTTGATTCTTGAAATCATGTCGGTTCAACATTTGATATCTCATCACTCTGCAATGGTTTCCAGGAAGGGTTTGTATATATTAATTTAGATTTTTATACCAGTGTATATACTAATTTAAATCAGGGTTACTTTTTCTTGAAGAAGTAACTTCCTCTATTCAAACTTAAAAAAAGAGTTTTAAACCCTAGAAGCCACAAATTAAAGAACAAGAAACTTATAATTATTATATCAGGCTTTAAAAACAATTAAGCATAATTTGGTCGCAAATATGAGACTATTTTCTATTTCAGAAAAATTTGTGAGTGAACAAAGGACACGTCTAAGTAGCAATTCGATAGACGTTCTCAGTTTTTCTTAAATCATATTTTATTAAACAAAAAAACAATTAGAATGTTTAAAATTAATTAATGAAAATTGCTCAGAATAGACAAAACCCGAGTTTAGCTTAATTGTTTAAAATTGATATTAAAAGTAGGTATCAACATGTATCTAATTATTTTTTTAATTTAATGAATGTTTTTTATTTAAAAATGTATTAGTTTTATTTATTCGAAAACTTTCCTTTCATTATTATAAAAATATTTTTATTCTTATATGTGAAAATGATGCATGAATAACGAATAATTATTTTCAAAGTTATTTAATCACGATAAACTATTATTATTTAGTTCTACTAATTAAAATTAAAATAATTTTGTTTACTATCCATATAATTGAACAATAAATAAATTCAGTCAAATACTGCTGTAAATCACACTAAATTTGCGGATAAATTACAGAATATTCGAGCAAAAATTTTACTTTCTATATAAAATTCGAAAACCGGCTAAAACCGGTTTTTTAGTAAAATTAAAATTCGAAAACCGGTTTTCTGAAATGTCGGTTTTTGTATAAACAAACCCTAAACAGTATTATAAATACTGTGTTTAATCTAATCTAATTCATCATATTTCTTTCTCCAGTTGATGCCAATATTCGTAGTAGACAACTTTTCCCACCTGCCAGGATTATCAGGTCTCTTCGTAGCTGGTATTTTCTCAGCATCTTTGTCAACAGTATCAGCAGCAGTCAACAGTTTAGCAGCTGTTACGATGGAGGATTATATAAAGCCTTTGTACAAAGTTATTATGAAGAAGCCTTTTCCTGATGTCGGAGGAGCTTTGTATAGTAAACTTTTGGCTTTGTTTTATGGTATACTTTGTGTTGCCGTTGCTTTTGCTGCTGAAAGCCTTGGAGGAGTCCTACAGGTAATAAAGGAAATATTATTAAAATTACAAAATTGTTTTAAATACTTGATTTTGTATATTTAGGCATCATTGACAATCTTTGGTGTAGTCGGAGGACCGTTGTTTGCAATGTTTACGCTCGGAATGTTTACCACAAGAGCTAATCAAAAGGTACTTATTATAAAATTCAATTTTAAACTCCTCAATTATCCTAATATAATTTTTATCTCAGGGCGTTTTAACTGGATTAGTGTGCGGCTTAGCATTTTCTTTATGGATCGGTTTTGGAGGTCCCAAACCGCCTCCAAAAACTCTGCCAGTTTCAACACAAGGATGCCCTTATAATAATGGAACTCATACTTATCAATCTAGTGTATTCCGGGCAGCTCAACCAATTGATGATAGGTAAATATATAAAAATAGAGAAAATACATTCAATTGGCTTTGATTATCATTTACCAATTTATCTTTCTTATCACTACCTTAATAATTTATCCTACCTACCTACTTACCAATTTATCTTTCACTTCCAAAATATTCATTTACTAATCTTTTTGTTACCAATTCATCTTTGTTTTCCAGAACCACATTTACCAATTTTTTACCAATTCATTTTTTCTTTCCAAATATATTTCTACCAATTAATTACCAATTATTTTTTTCTTTCTAAATATATCTACCAATTTTTTACTAATTTCTTTCTTTCCAAATATATATCTACGAAATTTTTACCAATTAATTTTTTCTTTCCAAATAGATATCTACCAATTTTTTACCAATCATTTTTTTTTCAAATATATATCTTTATTATTTATTTTTTCAAATATCAATTAATTTTTTTTTTCAAATATATATCTACCAATTTTTTTTTTTTTCAAATATATATCTATCAATTTTTTACCAATTAATTTTTTTTTCGAATATATGTCTACCAATTTTTTGACAATTAAATTTTTTCTTTCCAAATATATATCTACCAATTTTGTACCAATCAAATTTTTCTTTCCAAATATATATCTACCAATTTTTAACAAATTAATTGTTTTTTTCCAAATATATATAGACCATTTTTTTACCGAATATATCCACCAATTTTTTACCAATTATATTTCTTTTCAAATATATATCTACGTATTTTTCATCGATTAAATTTTTTTTTACCAAAATATATATATATATATATATATATATATATATATACCAATTAATTTTTGCTTTCCAAATATATATCTACCAATTTTTAACCAATTAATTTTTGCTTACCAAATATATATCTACCAATTTTTTATCAATTATTTTTTTCTTTCAAATATATGCCAATCTACCAAATATCTACCAATTTTTTACCAATTAATTTTTCCTTACAAATATATACCAATCTACCAAATATCTACCAATTTTTTACTAATTAATTTTTTCTGTCCAAATATATACCAATCTACCAAATATCTACCAATTTTTTACCAATTAATTTTTTCCTTACAAATATATACCAATCTACCAAATATCTACCAATTTTTTCCCAATAAATTTTTTCTTTCCAAATCTACCAATTTTTTACCAATTAATTTTTTTTCCAAATATATACCTACCAATTTTTTAGCAATTAATTTTTGCTTACCAAATATATATCTACCTATTTTTCACCAATAAATTCTTTCTTACCAAATATATATCTACCAATATTTTACCAATTAATTGTTTCTTTCCAAATATGTATATATCTACCAATTTTTTATCAATTAATTTTTCTTTCCAAATATATATCTACCACTTTTTTATCATTAATTTTGTCTTTCCAAATATATATCCACCATTTTTTTACCAATTAATTTTTCTTTATATATATATATATATATATATATATATATATATATATATATATATATATTATATATATATATGAGTATATATATATCTATTAATTTTCCACCAATTTATTTCTTTTTCCAGTGACTACTTCTACCTCTACCGTCTCTCCTACTTGTGGTACAGCGTCCTAGGATTTCTGGTGACTTTCATCATAGGAGCCTTAGCGAGTGTCATCTACGAGTGTGCAGGATTGGAACCACGTCCAGATTACATGCACCTGGATCCTAATTTGTTCAGCCCTCCATTTGCTCGTAGAGTCAGACGTAAACAGGCAGCTATGCTCACGAATGGGGTTGCTCAGGTCAGTAAGAGTAGAGATGAGTCGTAGAAACATTAGGTATGTTGGTTTTAGGAATATACATATATACATACATATAATATATATATATATATATATATATATATATATATATATATATACTAGCAAACCCGTCGAACTCCGTTTCGCCACCAGATGGTTTCATGAAAAAGATGAAGAAATTTTTTGTTTGTTTTGTATTTGAAAAGGAAAAATTTGATTTTATTACACAACAGTAATGAATTTATTTCGATTACAAAAATTAAGTGTTTTTTAGTTGAACTTCTCCAAATAAATGAAAGTGAATCCGCAAATTACCCGTTTCATTGAAGTGCTCTTTGGTAAACCACATTTTTTGCTTTTTGGTCTGACGTTAACACAAACAAAGCGAATGGTTTTCCAACTCGTGAACAGGCAACGTATAACTGCCATGTGAAAAACAATAATTTTCTAAATAATCTATTTGAAATTTATCCCGCAAACACTAAGCGATTGGCCTTGCGACTTGTTTTGTTAATTGTTATTGCGAACTGGAAATTGCAATCATTTGAAGTCAAAGGGAAGACCAGTCGGAATCATTGGTATGTCACCAAATCGCCAGCAATTTTTGATTGAATGGTGAAATGCAGTGCGTGTACATCATTATTGTTTGCGGCAAGAATTGCTCGTTGACTTAACCAAGCATAATTCTGATAATTCTCACTAATGTAATTACTCGAATTTTTAATTACGGTGCGTGAAGTTCCAGCAATATGCATTAGGGCACGATGCCATGCTCCACTAATTTTCTTAGCTACAAATCTTGCGGAGCCCGAGACATTTCCAACGAATGCAAAATTGTCGAAATCGGTTCGTGCGTTCTGGAGTTATTTCGAAGATATATATATACTAGCTGACCCAGTAAACGTTGTTTTACTGTGTAAAGAATTTCTAGAGAATTTTTCAGGTAGCAAAAAAATCACTAAATTATTATAAGCAAAATAGGAGGGTGTTAATTCAGAACTGTATTTAAAGATTTAAAAATAGAGAGGCTGATTTTTTTAGTTAGAGTGAACGCGATTATAAAATTTCATAAGAATCAGTCAAGCCGTTTCGGGGTATAACATAATCACACGAGAATTATATATATATATATATATACATATACTAGCTGACCCGGCGAACTTTGTTCCGCCTTAATGGCAATAAATAAAGCCCTTTTTTTAATTCGAAAAAATAAAATACCAACAAACTATAATACATTAACAACAATTAATATATAACTATTTCCACTTTTATTGCAAATTTTGAGCTTATGTTAAGAGACCATATTACAAAATTATTTTTTTTTATTAATTTGTCAATGATTATACTTACTTCTGATTATAAACACGTCAAATACTCTATTTAAATTTTGAATTTGGATGCAAAACGGGATAAAGAGTATCCTATGTCTTTCTCTTGGCTCTAAACTACCTTCCTGATAATTTTCAGCTAAATCGGTTCAGCCGTTCGTGAGTTATAAGTGTTGTAACTAACACGATCCTCTTTTAATATATATATATATATATATATATATATATATATATATATATCTGTTTTTATAAATCAATATGTAATTTTTATTATATTTATCGATTTTAGTTGAGCGATGTGGAACCAGTCAAAAACAACAAATTAATCTATGATACCCACATGTGACAATCAATAAGTGTTGATAGCAAAATGGACAAAGTTGCTATTACGGAAGTATAAAGTAAGTTTTGTAACCAATTAATTTCATTAAAAATGATGAGAGACTTTGAAATGATGAAAAATTCGTTTTATCATAGTACATAATTATTATGTATATATACTCTAACTTAAAATCTACCTCTCCATAGTAAAATCCATCAAGACTTAAATGTCTTAAAAAACTGTAATTATTTCATATCTGTTTTATGGTTTATTAAAGACATGCCACGATAATTTCTCTAAAATGACACAAATATTCAGTGTATAAAATTATGTGTAAATATTTTATTGTGTTTTCGAGAAGTATTACAAGTGGTTTAGTAAGAATGTGTACAATGAATTGTCTGTTACTTAATAATTTTGTGTCGAAGGATGTGTTGTGAGTTAGTGTATATTTAATAAGGAAAAATAATATTAGAATGGATAGATATAAGTTATTTTAGGTATATTATGGATATGGATCAAAGTATATTTTGAACAGTAACATTACTTTATAGTTTAAGAAGTTATTTTAAATTTTAATAATTAATGTGATAACATTCTTGGGAAAGCTTATCTCTGTGGTTTTACTATGGTGTAAATACGTGGTCTGTTCAAAAAGTACCCGGAATTTTCGTATATAAATATAAAATATTTATTTATTCGTCTACATTAATGTGGTCCCCTTCAAAGTAGTCCCCCCCAGATATAATACACTTATGCCAGCGTTTTTTCCAATTTTCGAAGCACCCTTGATATTCACTTTTTGATATGTCCTTGAGCACTCTCAGCGATTTTCTTCAATCGAGGAAAACCGCCGTCCTTTCATGGGTCTCTTCAACTTTGGGAATAGGAAAAAGTCACACGGAGCCATATCTGGTGAATTTTTGCACTTTGCAACACTTTATTTCATTTTTTACGCAAAATTTAATACAAATTCTTTGACTTTTCAATTCTTCCATTGTAAAAATCGCCGAGCTCAGAAAAACACGTCGAACCTTAGCGACTACCACAGACAAAGTAAACAGTGAATATAGCTGAAAATTTCATCATACTTTAGGGGCATGTATACCAACACAATAAAAAAAAAAATTTGACAATCAGACACTCCAGACCCGCGAAATTTAATTATTAGTAATTCCGGGTACTTTTTGAACAGACCACGTACATTGTGTTTTTAGTGGAATTATTAAACGAAAAATCGGATTTTTTTTACATATTTATACAGGGTGTCCCAGAACTCAACGGCGATAATATTGACTGTAACTGTCTTGCAAGATTTTACGAAAAATATTTATTTCACGTTGTTTGGAACATATGAGCTTTTAAATACAACCTAGAGATTTGGTGAAGTTATGACCATGGTTAATTTTTTCGTTTAAAGAAAATCGTTTTTTCTTTATATATACATACAGAGTGTCCCAGAACTCAACGGCGATAATATTGACAGTAATTGTCCTAAGAGAATTTAAAAAAAGTATTTATTTCATGTTATGTGGAAATAATGAGCTTCTAAATACAACCGAAAAGCTTTGGCGAAGTTATGACAATTTTTTAGTAATCATGGTTAATTTTTTCGTTTAATGAAAATCGTTTTTTCTTTATATGTACATACAGAATGTCCCAGAACTCAACGGCGATATATTGACTGTAACTGTCCTGAAAGAATTTAAATAAAGTATTTATTTCACATTGTTTGGAACATATGAGCTTTTAAATACAACTTAGAGCTTTGGTGAAGTTATTAACATTTTTATTCATCATGGTTATTTTTTTCGTTTAAAGAAAATCGTTTTTTCTTTATATCCGATACAGGGTGTCCCAGAACTCAACTGTAACTGTCCTAAAAGAGTTTTAAAAAACTATATATTTAACGTTTTTCGGAAATAATGAGCTTTTACTTACAATCGAAGAGCTTTGGTGAAGTTATGACAATTTTTTAGTCATTATGGTTAATTTTTATTAATTTTATCAATTAAAACTTTGGAACTGTAACCGTAAATAACATTTCTAGATTTTTTTATCTAGTTTTCAAGAGTTAAGACATTTTGTTTAAATTGGTTGTTTTTGAAACATACAGAATGTACTTTAAAAAAATGTACTAAAGGGTTTTGGCAAATTTCATAAAAAGTTGGCGCATTTAATCAGGATTGTAAAATGATAAAATACTTGATAATATTATAATAAAAAAATTCGACTAAAAAATAAAAACTTAGAACTTTACCAAAGTTAGGTTATACTTAAGAGCTTAAAATGGAAAATGAAAATGTTCGCTTATCTTCACGTTTCAAAGGTTTCTGAACATTTTGGCATACCTTAGAAAAAATTTATGTGTGTGTGTTCGGATACAAATTTTGCGTCGACGATTTTGGGAACACCGAGCAATCGATTTGAATAATTCAAAAAGCATTCGATTCGTATTGATAACTGGACGTGCCGATTAGTTTTTGGCGAAAGTAGGTGTAGCCGTTTCGGAAATACGGGGCAAAAAGTTCCAAATATAGTAATTGATTTTTTGCGAGAACGGAGCGTCCGATTTGTATTGACACATTTTATTTGTATTGACAAAATGAAGAAATGATTAAATTTTTGGGAAGGCAGGTCTAGCGGTTTTGGAAATCTAATAAAAAAATGTCATTTGGTGTTCAAAAATAATCATTAGACATATGTACATCAAATTATCAGATATTTTGTGGAGATTCTTATGTGTATCATTTTTGTTTAAATTTCTATGGGTTTCCTAACTTTGTTTGTCCGTAAGACGGCGACGCAGCGCTTACGCGCTTCTATATCGTCTCTGTGCAGCTAAAGCAGTACGATTGCTTTGAAAAAATGTTCAAAACTCCTAAAATATTTCAAATTAAAAAAAAAAAAATTATCCAAAAATTCAATTTTTTTCAAAAATTCAAAATTTCTCAAAAATCTAATTTTTTCAAAGTTTAAACAAAAATTTTATATTTTTTTAAAAATTTAATTTTTGTTACGGGAAGTTCCAGCAATTTGCCTTAAGACACGACGCCATACACCACTAGTTTTTATAATTTGACGTTGAGTTCTGGGACACCCTGTATAATATTTATTAAATCGTTTTTATTTAGCATTTAGTGCTGACCTTTTTCTATATAAACAATAACATCCTTTTTTCGTTTTCAGTAGTACTTCTTCAGAAGAAATTTATTTTTTATTGTTTCCTGGCTTTTAAAATATTATAATTATCAACTAGTTAATAAGTTTGGAAAATGGCCGAAACAATAAGTTAGTTAAGAAAAACTTAGACAATGTCTTAAAATGTGTTTATGTACACGATAATAATAGACTGTGCTTAATTAGTATAGAGAAAGGTATAAAATTAGTAAATATTATAAAATATAGAAAATAAAAAATATGGTACCAATGGAATGTTTATACAAAATTGATTTTTTAACGCTAAAAGCACTTATGAAAAAATCACAAAAAATTAGTATTTATTACAACGACTATTATATATTCACTGGGTGAATTTAATAATAAGTCGTTTAATGTTATAGAAAATTATTATATATTGTTTTCCTGTTTATAATTTATTATAGTGGTTAGTAAAATATTTTATATTTTATAATTTTTTATATGGAATTTAATTGTTATTTAAAAAACTTTTATTTCTACTTTAAATTTAGTATATAAATAAATACAAAACATGTTGGAGCAAATATGTCTTCCGTAGGAACAATAAATGAATATTTATGTATATATCTGGTGTATTATTGAAGTTATACTTTTTTAAGTAGAGAGAGAACAAGAGTGTTTTGTTTATTGAAGTAACACTTCTAATGTGAATTACAACAAATTTCAGTGAAACTTAATGCTAATGAGAGTGATTAAGTAAGATTTATCTGATGATTTGATTATGAGGATTTTCAAAATAATTGCGAAATGTTCTAGATAGTATAAAAATGTTCTTAGTATGGAAATAACCTAGGTAATTTTGGAAATGTTTTGGATTATATTGAAATTGTTTTTGATGGCACGGAGAAGAATCTGGATAGGCTGAACATATTTTATATATTTTTGAAAATGTTCTAGATAGCCTGAAAAGATTCTAGATTATTTTGAAATTGTTCTAGATAATGTGAGAATGTTCTACATAATTATGAATTTTTTTTAGGAAGTCTGAAAAAGATTCTCGATAGGCAGAAACTGTTCTAGATAATTTTGAAAAGGTTCTGGATAGTTTAAAAAATATTATTTCGAAGATGTTTTTGATAGTCTAAAAATGTGCTATATAGTCTGAAAACGTTCCAGATAATTTTGTTAAAGTTCTGAATAGTCTGAAAATAGTCTAGATATTTTTGAAAATGTTCTAGATAGTCTGAAAAGGTTCTAGATAATTTTGAAATTTTTTTAGAAAGTTTGAAAAATGTTCTGGATAGTCTACAAATGTTCTAGATTATTTTAAAATTGTTGTAGGTAGTCTGAAAAGGTTCTAGATAATTTTGACAGTGTTCTGTGGATAGTATGGAAAGGTTCTAGATAATTTTAAAAATGTTCTGAATAATTTTGAAAATGCGTTGGACAGTCTGAAAAGATTCTTAATATTTTTGAAAATGTTCTTGTTAATCTAACAATGTTCTAGATATTCTGAAAATGTTGCAAGTTATCAGAAAATGTTGCAAATTTTAGAAAATGCTGCAAATCATTTAAAAATGTTGTGGAAAGTCTGAAAATTGTTTCAAATTGTCTGAAATTGCTGCAAGTTGTCTGAATATTTTACAAATCGTCTAAAAACGTTGAAATAAAAAATAATTTTGCAAAATTTCGACGATAAATAAAAATTTTTGAAAACACTTTTTTATTTTCTACTACTTATTAGATTATTCTTTTTGAAACACCACACAACATATGCAAATCCAAGAACTCAAATTTTATATATATATATATATTTATTTATTTATTTATTTATTTATTTTTTATTTATAATATAATATTGCTTTCAGATTTTCCTATAATTCAAATTTAACCGCCCATAGACAAAAAGACCGCCACCTCCGCACCTCCTCCCAGCGCCATCTCTCGCCTTTTATCTCAACCTTCTCCCCGACAGTGTGTCGATGATTACAGAAAGTGACAGAAGTACTTGATAGTGTTTGCAGCCCAACCCATTTTATTTCAAAGTAAGTGTCACC